TTCTTGCCCGAATTGTGAGATTCTCCAGCTCCAAAATAGCTTAGTGCATAGCGCGTTACGGGCAAGCGAAAAATGCTTCTCGAAAGCCCTTTGCTGTCTGAACTATAGGAAGGAGACGATGTGGTGGGGATGGCATAGCATCGTTCCCGGATTCGCTCCCGGAATCGATACTACCATACGTACGAACGGTGCTGATGCTCCCTCTCTTAATCCCTCTTCTGATGTTACGAGGGCGCGGATGAATAGATTGTAGAACCGATAATTGGGAATTGGCATAATTAGGAACAAAGATTCAACAGGATATTTTGCTTATAGCCAATTAATAAAAATTGCAGCAACTAGATCGATTCGTTTTCAGGGATCGTTGGCTAATCATATGATTCACGAAAAAGTATTTTTCACTGCTTCTTGCACTTCTCAGGAATTAGGTAAACTCTAATGTATCTTCTGATACTTGTCATGTGATTGTCTTACATACTTTATCTGATGAGTGAAAACACAAGAAATTGATCTCACTGACGTTTCTGGTATCACAACCGTGGTAGAAGTACAATATCATAGAATTTGACTGTCAAGAATCGTATATTTTGTAATATTTATTATCTCCCAAAAACTACAAACTAAAATATTTATAGCTAAATATATAAGCTTTTAAATGGAGTGTTTTGAACCTCAACGTAATTGTATTTTCAATTGGTGAAATACCACCCTTTTTTCAAGGACTCGAAATTATTTTAATTTCGGACTCCGATAAAATATGACTGTATAATTTATGTCAAACCGTCAATGTCAGAGAATAAATGTTTTTTCTCATATATAATTAAAACACATTGATTATATTTTTTAGATGTAAAATATTAAATATTGTTATTCCTTCGAAATATTTTTCAGAAAATACATACCTACCAAATTACAACTCCAGAATGTATGTGAACCACAACCCTCTCCTATCCAAACTCATCCCCGACGACTCAAACCACGAACTAGCTAATGCCTTATAGCATTTTTTGCCAATAGTTAAAACCACGTTCGGAGAACAAATCCTGAGGCTTTGGCTACCATGTTAGTAATAAAGATATTTATCATTAAAAATAATTGTCGAACGAAAGCTATATTACTAGTTTTCAGTATTTGAACTTTCAATCTGCGTCTGATGCCACTGTGCCAGCTCTAATAAATAAATCCGAAATACGGAAAATACTGTGCCGACCCCTGTCTTGCAATGGAACCATACCACAGTGCAGCTTCAAAGGTGGCTAGATGTGGGACCTAAAAGAAACGTCTGCCCTTATGCTGCAGGCTGTACTGAATATGTTGGCTTTCCGTGTCTGTAACCATGATCAACCGCAGACATCGCGGTTTCGTACGTTTTAGCACTCATCAGTACGATATACAGTAATGGACAAAGGTATATAGACAAATTAATATTGTGCTGTATTTCTTTTTTAGCTTGTTTTATTAATACACCAACCTGTATACAATAATTCGTTATAGCATAATACTCACTTATACATAAATAAATTCATTAGACTCCCTTCAATAAAAAAGTAATTGAAAAAACTGGAACTATGATGGACAAAAATATATAGACAAAGCAAAACAATTATAGAAAAAAGAAGCAAAGTTCATTGAATTATAGAAAACCAAACCAAAGCGGCAAAAAGTGCATCCTTGTTTGAATAATTTTTATCTCGTATTTGCTTATCTAAGGCCCGTATCGTCAGTCGTCCCTACAATTGTAGGGCGCGTTTATGGCCTTCTTGATTGTCATAGTTTTCTACTTCTCCGTGTCAGCGCTCTATTTTGAGGTTATGTCACAAACATCTATTTGCATCAAATTGTGCTTGCATTTGAGTTTTATCATGTTTTATCAGCCTGAAATTTCCTACAATTTAAAAGGAAAACATATCTTAACAATAGGAGAGCTCTGACGCTGACACGGGACGAGTGTAATCTAGAAATTTTTGAAGGAGAGAAATGAGTATGACAATCAAGGAGGCCATAAACGCGCCCTACAATTGTAGGGACGACTGACGATACGGGCCTAAGTATTCCCATAGATTTTCAATGGGGTTTATATCGGGAGACTGTGAAGGCCATTTGAGAACTGGTATTTTTTCATCCAGAAAGAATTTCTTTGCGAAATTTGAAGTGTGCTTCGGGTCATTATCTTGCTGGAAGATTGATCTTAAGGACATATTGTCTTGCATATAGGGTAACATGACATGCTTTAGTATCTCTGTGTATACAATCTTTTCCATAATGCCATCTATTCTATGTAAAGGTCCCATCCCAAACCCCGAAAAGTACCCCCAAACCATAACAGACCCGCCTCATGTTTGACAGTGGGCAAAGTGTACTTGGGGTTCAATATTTGTCCACTAGGACGCCTAACGTAATGAACACCATCTGATCCAAACATATTGAACTTGGATTCGTCACTGAAACACACCCTCTTTCAGTCACAGATGCTCCAATCAAGATGCAACGGTTCAAATTGTAATCGGTCCTTACGGTTCTTCCTCGAGATTAGCGGCTTCTCACTCGGGCGACGTGCAAATAACATCAAATCATTTAATCTTCTATTTATAGTTTTCGTAAAAACACTGACAATTCCCTTTGTCTCGATTTCGGCTTTTATGTGTCTTGGAGTTTTAAACGGATCTTTAACGAAATTACTTTTATTAATCTAACTGATCTAGCATTTAGTTTTTTAGGCCGACCACTTCTCTCGGAGGCTTCCAAGATACATTTTTTTTATATTTGTTCAATATTCCCCAAACTGATTTACGCTTCAGCTTCAAATTTTTGGCAATGTCGACTTGTCGTTGACCATCTTTGTATAACTCAATGATCTTAGTTTTCACATCGAAAGAAATTTCTGAACCACGCGGCATGGTCATAAAATCACTTAACTTATTCCACAGTACTTGATGAACACAAACTAATCCTCTTCTGACACGAAACTGTACTAAACTAATGTTGAAGTTGAAATGAATTTGTCTACATATTTTTGTCCCTCATAAAAAAGTGCTTATATATATATATATATATATATATATATATATATACATTGCAGATAATGTAAAAACAAGGGATTTCGTTTTTCTACTAATAACACATTTGTTTATGGAGCAATGAAGTATGAATTCGTTTTCTAAAGGTATTTAGGTAAATATTCATATTTGTCTATATACTTTTGTCCATTACTGTATTTCTATTCTTAGCAAAAGTCAAATGGAAGGCAAATAAGCGGATCAAATTAATTTATGTGCAGGAATAATTGGACAATATTTAATAGGACCCGTTGAGTTACCATCTAGACTAAATGGCCAAAGATACTTACAATTTCTTGAAGAAAAATTATTACCCTCACTGCTGAAAGATCTTCCACTACAATCACGCATGAATATGTGGTTTAAGCACGACGGCGCTCCACCTCATTTTAGAATATTAGTTAGAGAGCACCTAAATAGAGTTTATCCAGACCAGTGAATAGACCGATCAGGACCTCTATCGTGGCAGGCTAGATCACCAGATTTAGATCCCATGGATTTCTTCTCCTGGGGTGATTTAAAACGACCCGTTTACAATACTCCAGTGGAAACTGTAGATGATCTTCGACAAAGAATTTTCCACCATAGCCTGGAAATGAAAAATAACATGTTTTGGAGAGTAGTCAAGGTGGTGCTCATTTTGAACAATTTTTGTAGATATTATTTCCGTTTATTAGTTTTGTTGCCATCCTCATTTGTTATTTTTAAAAATCGTAGCAACGCTACTCAGATATTATCCAAAGCAATTTGATTATTATATTATGAAAAGTTTTCATCATCATGGTACAAATAATGCATTGGGACTTTTAAAAACAAATATCTCGAAAACTATTAGCTTTAGACACTTCTAACAAGTAAACCTTTTTTGTTGTGGAAATACGAGAAAATACAATTTTCGGTCAGTCGTTGTGTACAGAGTAGCACAAAAAAGTTATGATAAGTTATTTACCGAAATAGTGCTGTAAGTGGCGCCCTCTAGAAGTTTGACCATACAAAATAACGGATTCTTGTTCTCTCATACTAGAAAACCTCCCTATACCGAGTTTTATTCCAAAATCTGAAATACTTCTCGAGCAATAAGGAAAAAATAGAAAATAAAATTGTCTCTTTGCAAACTATCAGCTTTCGGACTAAGGTATGTTTAGGTCATTTCACATATTTTGGTCTGTAGTATCTCCAGTTTCGAGATTTCCCAACCTATATGGAAAAATACTGATTTTCGTATTACCCCTCAAATTCTCAAGGCCCCTGAAGGTGGCGAATTTTCCGTATTTTTTCAAAAGAGTGTCTTCAAATAATCAAATTTATAAATGTTGTAGAGAATAATTATACTTATTTTTCTAGTTTGTTATCTCAAGTCCCGTCCAGGGGATGTAGTTGTTTTTATTGAAACATGAATGAGCTCCAGAGATTTGTTTCTGTAAATAAACAAATAAAAAATAAATAAAATTTGTAATAAAAATAGAATAATTAATTTACATTATGTAAATAAATTTTATTAAAATATAAATTCAAAAGCAAAAATCTAAAACCAAGTGAAAAAGTTTTATCAATTTAATTTATCATGAAATTTATTATATAAAGTTCATAATTTATGTAAAACTGTGTCGCTCATTCACCCCCCATGCCCAAGGTCCCCTATAGGGACCATCTGTATATTTATGGATATTTGTAAATAAAAAACATTCATTATATTTTATCAAATTAGCCTCAGTAGAATCCATAAAAACAAAAATACTGGAGAGTTAAGAGTACAAATGCAAAGAAATGACAGAAACGCCCTTGTACTTTGGAGGTAGAGCTTGCCGAAACGTCAGTCAATTTTTCCATTCTGCATATAAGACCAGTGAAATGTGGAAATAGATCAGTCAGAAAACCATAGGACAAGTTTGAGCTACCTTGAGGAATAGTCGACGTTTTATTAATTTCCTTTGTTTTTTCCAGGTGGTGATCTCTCCAATCTTGGCCAGCTTAGCTGTAGGCATCGGCGTACCGATCCTCCTTTTCTACGTATACGGCGTAGTACCTGTGTCATTATGCCGTTCGGGCGGCTGCGGGGGCGGTAACAACGGCTCTGGGGGCGGCAACGAAGAGGCGCAACCTCAACGGGAGGGCAGCGCATCGGGCGTCGTGCAGCCTGACACCGCCTCTATTGGTGCGCACAGTGCTGCCACAGCTACGGGGGCGAATCCATCGATAGGTTAGTATCTTGAATCAAATTGAGTGGTATGCTTGAGTGAGTTACAGTGGGTAAAAACAATATTGGTATGCCCTAGTTTTTTCTTGAATCTCAGATACGAAATGATTTTTTTATGCTAAATTCATGTCAAAACTAACAACATTATTCAAAAAAAGGGAGCAAGAAAAAATCCTAGCTTTCCAGTGATCTTTGACAGGTTGCATTTCGGTGAAAAATGATCGCGTCTACTCTTTAACGAAAGAATTTTGAAGCTTTAAGTTCCCAGTTTTTAGGACTTTTAGTCGAAAAGTTTTAGGGGCACCGGTTCTTACTCAATTCTAACAGATAGTGCAAGGGAAATGTTTGTGCAAAAAACCTGGGCTCTCGACAAAACACTATCTCTGTAGGCCTGCTGAAGTTTAGCAAGATTTTCCGTTACACTGTGACCAAGTCTGAAGCAAAGCTGTTTCACAAAAAAAAATCGCTACGGACAAGCAAATGACTAGACTGAGTTCAAACTTGTACTGAATGCGGATCACATGTTCCCCTGTCTCCTCTCCAAGCTCAGCGTCTCCTGTGTTGACAAATCGAACGCTACGTTGCCAGTCTCATTACTTAACTTACAGACCTCGTACTTTCTATCCCCTATTTATGATAATACTGTGCATGTCTAATATTTTGTATATTCAGTGAGTTCAGTTAATATTAATTACCTTAGAATTATGTGTAAATCTTCTATCAGAATTTCTATGCAGAATTGTTGAAAGTTTTTTCATTAGATAGGTGCTTATTGTACTTTACGACGGCGCCCGAGATTTCCCCGTATTTTTCTGATTTCCAGTAAGTACTTTTGACTGCTTCTAATCATAAATAGTTATACCACCTGTCCAGATCAACTTGTTTAAATAAATTATATTGAAAAAAACGATGTTTTAACATCGTTTATAACAACTTCGAAATAATTAATTTTTTGCATAAATTCTTGAAGTTGAAATCTTCAAAAATTTACTTCACTTTTGTACAATGTTCTAGGACCATCTGGGATAAAAAAAAAGCTTTTTTCATAAACTATTAAACCGATCCGGCTGAAATTTAGCACACATATTAACACCAATGATCTTTATTAACCACTTAGATACAGAATATTACATGTGGTGAAAAAAAAACAAATAAAAAAAATAAAATAAATAAGCTACATAATATAATTAAAATTTATAAAAATATAAGTAAAATCCATATAAATATAACAATCCATATAAGTGTTCATTTTCATCTTTAAGTACTCAAACAAATAAAAAAAATAAAATAAATAAGCTACATAATATAATTAAAATTTATAAAAATATAAGTAAAATCCATATAAATATAACAATCCATATAAGTGTTCATTTTCATCTTTAAGTACTCAAGGTTGAACGTTCCATATATTCACTTATGTTATAAAATGCATTTGATGATAATAATTTTTTAACTTGGTTTTTAAATCGAAAATAAGTACTAATTTGCTGTATTTCAGCTGGTAATTTATTGTATAATTTGATGCACTTATAGTAGTTTATAATCAAAATATGTACCAAGTAATTTACAAGAATCCGATAAAATAAGATCATACATATTCAAGTCTAAGTCAACTGTACGTTGGATGTTGAAGTTGATATATGTTTCTTTGACACCAAGCAGAGAATTCATCGAATACACTTAGAATTTTGGAGCGAAGGTGATTGACATTTCTTGCAAATACAGTTATAGTGGTATCGTCTGCAAACATGGTTATATATCCCTCTGAGATATGACTGGGAAAATCACTGACGTATAAATTGAACCCATTGTTTATAAAAAACAACGCATATCTGGCTGTATCTTTCTATGTATTTTTCATTAAAAAGCCCCCTCCCCCCCCTTTCACTTAAAACTTTCAGATATCTGCTAAACTTTTTTATTTTTGTTCTCTGTAGTCTGGACTATACATGAAAAATTCTTTCAGAAGCTGCAACAAATCTGTAGGAAGTTGGAAGTATAGTAGTAGTATATATAGATTCAATCTAGATGACGCCATTTTTTCCAGGCGAAGCCTCTCTATCGATGGCAAGCAGCAGCCACGTAGTCCTGCGAGGGTGCGGGGACCCTGACCGCGAATCTGGCACATCCACTGGCGCGCTGGCCGGCAGCCTACGGTGCGGCGCAGGTGCCGGGAGTACCAAGGCGGAAGACATCAAGGCGGCCCCGCAGAGATTGGAGGTGCAGGCGGACGTGGGCAGCCAAGGGGCGAGCAGCACCGAAGGCGGCAGTACCGGCAGGCAGCAGCGGTACAGCCTGACCAGCCTTACGGAATCGGTGCTGACGGCTGACGATGCCACGGCCAGCGTTAGAGCTTTGGCCGGCTCGGCGGTGCTCAATTTCAAGGTAATTATATCTACGGAGTTACTAGTAATTCTAGCACGTGTTGGGAGACCTAAGATGCAGCAAATGTTGCTCTATACAGGGTGTCCCAGAAATCGACGTCAAGCAGAAAACTGGAAACAACAAAATTTTCTCTAAAAATCGCGGATCTTCCCAGTGTCTCTGTAACATTGTTTGACAAAACTCAACTCTTGGGAGATAATCCCGGGATTGTACTCGCTGTACGTGGTAGCGGTAGCTCGTTCTTTCGCAAGATCTGATGGGCTGTTCCTTTGGGCACCCTGTGCTTGCTCCTTTTTGACGTACTGATATACTCGGGTCTTCTCCGACTGCTTGTAGTACGACACCCTCGTAAGGAAAGGAAATTCTTCCTTCACCAAGTGCTTGATTTCGGGATCGTTCCTCTGAGAGTCAACTGTTCACATTCACAAAAACCCGGTGATCGAGATGACGAGCAGCAATTGGGTACCTCTCACGATAAAGTCTAGCTGCAACACCAGCATTAAATCTACATTCCCCATGAATGAGGTGCATATGGTTTTCAGAGACGCTGTTTGAACCTATCGAAAATCTTGTCATCGCTTGCTCAATCACCCAATTTTCTATGGCTAAGTATATAATATACTGGAACAATTTTTTTATCATTAACACGGCAAATTAGGCAAGGGACACATTTACCTTAAATATGACAAAAGTAGGACCTAGAAACTACATACAGAGCTCATTCCCAATCAGGAGGCTCGATCTAAGCAAGATTCTCCAGAAATTAGTACGTTCATTTGAAATGTATATGACGTTGGATCCTTTGGCGTAGCAAATGTTACTTCAGTAGAGTTTTATTACCACTCATGTTCGTTTTGACGCAGATAAATAAGGTTTGAATACTCTGTAGGTTCTTCTGCACATAATTGCTCTCCAGGTATAATCTTCTCTCCTATTGGACCATGTCTCTATGAAATGACGCAGTATAAGTAAAGAACGTACATGATTGATATTAATTTAAAATTCCAGACTCCAGGCAGCGATTCGTGCAGCTGCGTGACAATGGAAGACTGTACATCGGAGAGGGTGCGATTCGACGATAACGTCAGCTTCATCACCTCTTCGCAAGCTGAGAAAACTAGTATTGGAAGCAGCTGTAGTTTTAGGTCTAGATGTGCTAGATCTGCGTTGGCGAAAAGTGACAGGTGAGGTTCACGCACATTTTGTAATTATTTTTCTCATTTATCAAAAATGTAAACACTCAACCCGTTGCATGCATTAGGAAACAAGTCAAACCCATAGCTCCAAGTTTAAGTTCTGACCTAACAAATATCTGGCCGCAGTTCCCTGTGGACAAATGTATTCAAACGTCAGTGTAAAGCGTGTTACTTCCCACGTGTACAGGCTAGGAAGTATTGTAATCGCAAAAAATTTTAAAAATGTGGTTTATCTCTTTTTGGATGTTACGAGGGTGGTCAGAAAAGTTTCCGACCTAACAAAGATTCAAGACATTTTTTGTCTACCCATACATTTACCCTTAAAACTTTGAAATACTTCCAACAATGCGGCTGATGGCTGTGCGTCGCACTCGGCAGTCGCTTCCGTGTAGGCTGTAAGCTTTAAAAGTCAATATCAATCCCATGCGGGATTAGTCTTGCAACGATCATGTGCGCCCGCAGAATTTCTGCGGGAGGGGAGTCATTTAATTTTTTGTTATACATGCTCGTAAAGTGTATCTAACGAAGCTACAAAGTAATCGTAAACAGTGGTTGATTCGTGATCAACGCGTGATCGGTAGCCATGGCGCTCTGTCGGCCTCTTCCTGATTGGCTTGTAGCGACGAGCCTCCAGACAAAGTCGCACGGTTGCCACGCTCGGCGAGTTTTCGCCAGAGTGGTTGATCACATTCGCATGGATCACAAATCAATCTGTTGGTGCAATACGTGCAATAACTGTTGTAAAGGACATTATATAACAATAAATGGCATCACAAAGGTATATTCCAATTTGATCTGCAGCAAATTATGAACGGCATATACGGAGATGCGAAAACAAGCTCAAAAAGGTGAAGAAAATTTTTGTGCAATCTTTATAGTTAAATTTTTCCTAAGAGATAGCATCAGTGAGGGAATTTTTTTCTATTGTCTTATTTTTCACATTAATGCGATGTCGAGGTATGTGGCCCTATCGCAATTTAAAATAAGGTTTCGATAATCCTTCCATAAAATTTCGATGAGTACATCTGAAATAACCTTGAGATATTCTTCAGGGAAATACAAAAATCTCCTTTTGTGTTTTTTTGTGCAGATTTATCTATTAAAATCTTATCCGCAATCTATTTTCCGTGCACACACCTTCAACCGAATGTATGCCATATATGATATTACCGTTTCCAACTTTCACCAAGGTTAATAGGAACCATAACAGCTCCCTACCCTTCCCCCCTATAAGAATATCGATTTGTAGCCTCACATTTCAAGGTTAGACTTCTTGTAATGTTTCTGTTCAACATTCGGCGATTTCTGACAATTTTCCCAATAAAACATGATCATTGTGACATTAAGCCTGTCAACGCTGCATAGTAGAGGGAACTCTCAGCGTCACGTTGATGGTTCGTCACCACGCACAGGATTGTAATCAGTTACGGATACCCGTTTATGAGCGCGAACGTTTTATGCACGTCTTGACTTGATTTTTCTTGCGGAAATTTAATATTAGTCTAAAATGTCTGACACAGATACAGCTGATGAAGTGGTTGAAATCAGCTTAACGCCACCCAGCAAAAGGGCTAAAAAGCTTCATCTTAGCGCAGGTGAAAAACAAATTATTCTAAATATCTACAAGAACCAGATGCAAGAGAATAGTGGATTGGCTATAGAAAATATCGTATGTAAGGTTGCTGAAATTTCTGGAGTAGGTCGATCAAGTGTTTACAAAATCTTGAAGGAATATAGACAAAATCACTCACTATCTGAGCCAAAAACATATCCAGCGAGAAAAAAAATCGTCGAAAAAATAGATGACTTTGACAAAAGTGCCATTAGAAGAAACGTACATCACTTTTTCTTCAGGAATGAAATACCTACAATAGATAAAATATTGAAGCAAGTGAATGATGATGAGGACGTGCCAAATTTTAAAAGATCTACGTTCCATAAGCTGTTGAAAGAACTAGACTTTCGATTTTTGAAAAGAGAAAGGAATAGTTTATTGATAGAAAAGGAGGAATTGTTATCTGGAGGAGAGAATACCTTAGAAAAATTAGGCAATTCCGCGCTGAAGGAAGAAAAATTTATTATTTAGACGAAACATGGGTGAACGCGGGGCATACGCAGAGAAAGGTTTGGGTAGACAGATCTGTGAGGTCCTCAAGGCAGGCTTTTTTAGATGGCCTTTCGACGGGATTGAAAAATCCTGCAGGTAAGTTTCGAAGTATATGAACTTTTTTGGATGCAGATAATTCATTTTCTGATCGAATCAATGATTTGGAAGCTCCGAACTCAGTTTTGCTATCTCATCCAAGTTTCTGAGTATTTCCTTCACCCAAAAACTAATCTAAGACCCTATCCTACACTAACCTAAAAAGAGTAAGTTGCTTAATTTCGTCATTTAGTGCGCTCGCTGAGAAGTAAAATAACTAATTACTTTCAGGCAAGGGAAAACGCCTGATCATTTGCCACATAGGTAGCGTAGATGGATTTGTTCCTGAAGCATTGTGGGCATTTGAATCCAAAAAACTGGAGACTATCACGAAGAAATGGATGGTAACTCATTTGAAAATTGGTTCAAAAAAATTCTGCACACACTTGATGATAACGCAATTATTGTGATGGATAATGCCCCGTACCACTCCAGAAAATTGGAAAAAATTCCAACAATGGCCACCAAAAAGGCAGACATTCAACAGTGGCTTGTCTCAAAGAAGATCGACTTCGACCAAACAATGGTCAAAGCTGAGCTGATAAATATAGTCAAGCGACATAAGTATAAATATGATTTAAAAATTGTTGACGAAATGGCCAAAAACCAAAATAAAACGATTCTCAGGCTGCCTCCCTATCACTGCGAACTGAATCCTATCGAGTTGATTTGGGCCGACATCAAGCAATACGTGGCGTCAACTAACAGCACTTTTAAGTTTTCTGACCTTAAAAAACTGTTTGATGTTGCTGTCGATAGAATTACGCCAGCAAAATGGAGAACATGTATTGACCATGTCCAAGAGAAGGTTGAAACCAAAATGTGGGATATGGACAATATCATTGACACCCAAGTTGAACCCCTTATAATTAACATCAACAATTCTGATGATTCAAGCTCCTCGGAATACAGCATATAAATCGATTGATACCATTAAGACTGGCAGTTTAACGGGCTTTTTGGCAAGACAGGTAAGTTCATTATAGACTGCAATCAAAGTGTAAGTTTCTAGTTATTAATGTGGAAATTCCAAATTTATAATTACACAAAATTAGGGTTAATTTAGGAATTCGAAAGCATAATAGTGCCATTTTGACCTTCTTCCTATTTCTCATGTAAATTTTAATAGCAATCAAACTAACAAACTTTATGGAGTCTGTAATAAACTTTTGTACTACTACTACTACGTCTGTAGTTTCTATTTGCTCAAAAAAATTTGCTCTGCATTGTGAATAGAAGGTTGATTTGTAAATATTATTGGGTATATATGTAAGTTAATAATAAAATATGAACAATTTCAATTGAGATGGTCCACAAGTTTTTTTCGTGTGCGTTTTAGTAACATTTTGCTGAAATGGTGAATACAGAATTTTTTGCACTGATTCCTAATGTCGAAATATGATTAGAAAGGCGTGGTATATTCCTGATAATTTACTATGCTTTTGATAGAATTTACAGCAACACATATTATCTTGTACGACATTTTTTGATAGATCAGTCACAATAGCTTGATACGGCCCTGTAGCGTCTCCTACGGTTAAGTTCTTGATCACGTGCAATACGGGTGTATATGTTTGATTTTACCAACGACTTCATAAGGTTAGACTACGCATGTATACGTGTCATTGTTTGTAACCGCTTCAGGGGTGCAAGGGGACAGGTGAAGACTGTTTTGTAAACAAACGTTCGACGATTGACATTCATTTTCCATAGGCGTATCAATATTTTGTTTAAGTAGGTTACCAATTCATTCATACAGAATCTCATTGCACTTCAATGTACCCAAAATATCCGTGTTTCGGATTTTCACGATTTCAAGCGAGAAAAATTTGCAAGTTGTACAATATGTAATCATTATCCCGATATTGACTTGAACGAGTTCACAACTAAGAACGAGTTGTTTAAATAGACAATGTTCATGAACAATATCCAAAGTTTAGAGCCAGCATGCCATAAAATAAAATGTTCCCTTGCAAGGAATGCAATGTTTCCACCGAAACTAAAAAGTTGGCAGTGTGCAGTCACTCTAAATTATTGGGTACATTCAGTTATATTTGGTAGCATCTCAAGCTAGTCCCAAAAGAACATATTCTGATGCAGTGTATTTAAGAGGATTTGGGTTTCTGTAGGTTTATTATAATTTTTATAAAACAGTAACAGTGGATACAGGTAATGGGATAATTAAACAACAAATGTTTGAAATATTTTAATTCAGTTATTATAATAATAATAAAACGTCTTTAATAGAAATATGATATACACAATACAATAAATAATTTACCCCTATGTAGCTACTTTATCCAAACATATTAAATCTATATTAAACAGTATAAGAGGCGCGTACAAAATTTCAAAAGAATAAAAAGACAAAATTTACTCTTGAACGCAGTCACATTATAACCTCACACATACCCCAAGAAAAAGATGAGGCAGCATGCCATATGTAAGCTCATACTTATAGCTCTTGGTTGCTCAGTAGTAGGATATGAGAGATCAGGGTAGAGTTGATGTTGTAATTGTAAAGAACGATAGCAGCATGAGGACAAATAAAACAAGGTTGTAAAATTCAAACAATATTAGAAAAAAACCCCAAACAATAAGCAAAAATTGAGGTAAGAATCACATGAAAAGAATGATTTATCTTTTGATCTACTCTCGCAAAGAGTGGACAAATCTGAGTTTAAAACAGGGATGGTCCCATGCGCTGGTGGTGAAATGATGTGATGACTGTGCCCCATGTACAAGTGCAATGTTGGTGTAATGATCATAGCACTCAAAAAGGCGA